GTGCGTTATGTTTCTGTTTTGCTACTTGTTAATTCTGGTTTACTGTTGCTAACAGACCCAGCTGTTCTACAGCTCATTGTACACGTGTCACTAGATCGTCTGCTCACTTAGGCTATATATAATAGTGCACTGTACTAGCCTCTTTCAGATAAGATTAATAAGAGCCAAATCAGTTTTTCAATTCATTTATTCCTCTAAATTGGCACTGAAGTCATGTGGAACCATCTCCAGCATATCATTAACTGTTAAACCAAACTTGTTCTTTAACCCTGCTGCTGCTTTTTGCCTCATTTCAGGTATTGAAAGGAGGTACCTTATGGTCTAATTCATTAAATAGTGAACGTGTCAGAATATTCCGCGAGGCCGAGCTAAATATGCGTATGATTGAGTATATTGTGATTATCAAACACCACCAGCATCATGGTCCAACCAATTTGCAGTTTGATTTCATTAACAAATTACTATACCTAGTCACTACGTAATCAAAGGCTAAATTAAATATTTAATAAAATATAATGTTGCTTTACTGATAATTAATTACATTATAAATAAAAAGAATTGTGGCTGAAAATACGTTACCACTCATCTCTAACTATATTTTTCTAAAAACAAACAAATAAGAGTAAAATATTTGAAACGACATATGAATTTCCCTTAGAATTAAATTTTATGTCACACAAGCCTCCTTTACATAATTAAAAATCCATTTTTATCCATCTAAACTGTTGGTTGACCATTAAATTTGACTCTTAAACTTTTGTTTTAACCAAAATACCCCTTTTTATTATAGGAATTATTCAAACATTTAAAAGTTAATTTTTATAAAAGTTGTTCTGATGCATATAATTTCAAACTCCCTAATATTTTATCAAACTTATTACTTCTAATGCATATAATTCTGAACTTCCTAGTATTTTGTCAAATTTATTAATTTTGATTATATTATAAAATTTGAAAATTTTGATTTTTCATCACATTTATTTAAAATTATTTTCTAGGTTTCTTTTTTAAATGGCTAAAATATAGTTAAAATGATATAATTTTAAGAGATTATATTTTATAATAAGTCGTCACTCATGATGTTTTCCTGTAATAACAATAAGAATTTTAGTTTGTCAACTCAATTAGAAAAATCCTATAGCAAATACCACAGAAAAGGGTCAAAAACTTCATGATGAATTCTTCTCTGAAATTAATAGCACATGTAATTGTTAAAAAAAATAAAGAAAAAAGATGGCCCCAAAAAAAAAAAGAAGAAAAAAAGGTAATATTATCATTAATGAAGAAATGGGTAGGAGGAAAGAGAAGCAAAGAGTACCTCAACTTGCTTCAACATGATAGCTGAATGGAGAATGGTATTCTCGGCGCGATCAATACTATTGAAGTTGAGAAGCTCGCCGGTAATGTGAAGCTCTAGTTCTATTAAGGCTTTCAAGGTTTCAAGATGATTGTGCTTAACACATAAGTGAAAAACAGTCTCCTCCTTGTTACGAACATTCAAGGACTCTGGCTTCGCTCTGACCAAGTCTCTCACAACCTCTACTCGCCTCCTCATCACTGCATAATACAGAGGAATTCTTCCTTTTTCATCAACATACAAGCATGGATCACTATCAGTTTCTACCAGTTTCCTCACAATTTCAATGTGACCCTCTGCAGAAGCCAAGTGGAGGGCTGTCCTATTGGAGTAGTCCAACTCAGTGGCTAGTTTGCTATTGAGAGTGACAAGTTCCTCTGTGAATTCACGATGGCCAAGAGAAGATGATATGTGTAAAGGAGTTTCGGCGAAGTCAGAAAGTGAAATTTTGTGCAAGATTTGTGAGTTTTCTTGTACCAATGATTTTAACATCGATACATCCCCCTTCTTAGATGCCTCAAAAAGAATGCTCACTTGGTCGATTTCTTGTTGAGACATTAGAAAAGGGAACTCAAAAGCCGTTGATGAAGCTGAGCTCTATGACTCCCCGTCGCGTTCACTCACTTTTCTTGACTAACTGGGGAAGAATTTACCTTCCAAAAGGCTTTCTTGCTTCTGTCAAAAAGTATAGGCTGCATATATATATATATATATATATGTAATCGATGTGTAGTGGAAGTTCTGAGAAATTTCCAAGCTGTTTCAGACTCAGATGCAAAGAATTCTCATGCCTTCATTTTCTACATCTCCGTCTCTTCCAAGATGTTTCGGACTGTTAGCAAGAAACTTCCAAGTTATTTCAGAGTTAGTTCAAGATAACTTCGATATTATTTCAGATTCAGATAAATCTGGAGGAGTTTCTTCAGGAGGAGGACCAACGTCCACGCGTTGGCACAGTTGAACAGCCATAAATACATAGTTGACTCATCTGCATTCCAAATTGATGGGCTGCGAGTAAACGACCCATGAAAGAAGCTAACGTTTTTAAAACAAGTCATTTCCTTAAACAAGAGGGTGCACGCTTGTTAGGACTCTTGGGGCGCGTCTTCACATTTTCTAATTTATTTATTTAATTTTTTATTTAAAACAAGTAATTAATGACGTATACACAGGTGTGATTGGTGATAATTTTGTACTACTTCAGGTGATTATGAAACAACCTCCAATCCCAAAAACTGCAAACATATTGGAAGGTGATGTCAAAACTCTCCAAACAATATTAGAATTAAACCTTTGGAATGGCTTTTCCCCTCACATAAACGGACTTCGTCAACGCAGAAACTTAATTTAAGCCCAAAATTGGAGTTAAAGTTGAAAACTCTCTAGAGTGGGAAGCATAAAATCAGTTTGGTGCTGTTTATTATTAGAATATATTGGAAAGTAGTCTCTTATTGACTACCTAGAAAGGATATATTTTTCTACTATTTTGATAGGAACCACTTAGACATCATATAGTCACAAATAAAAGTTGCAGAGACAAAGTTCCATAGTCTCAAGATGCCGACGATATATGGCTAGAGAAGAAGCAAAGACATCATAGAGAAAAAGAGTGTGACTTGGTAAAATTCATCCACGTCTTCAAACCTATAGTCATGTTCGATACAAAACATTAAAAATAAGAAGTAGAAATTGAGATTAGGACTGAGAAAATCTATAAAATAAAGATGTCTAGTAGGACAAGTTGAATATTGCATGGAATCAGGCAAATCTGTGCAGACAGGATTAGGGAATATGATAGGGGGTGACATTTCTCAACCCACATCGATGGTTTTGTCTAATTTTATATGATAAGTAATTACTTATATTAAATATTTTTTTAATAATTTTTCTCAATCACAATCACAATCCCTACCTTTTAGTTTTAATGTTTCGTACCAAACGAACTTATGCTCCTTCAAACCCTTGGACATATTTTTCAGCCCATTTGCTTCATCTGCAGCCCATATTTCCTTTTGGCCCATTTCCAGTAAGCCTTGTACCGTGACACTTCATTAATTAGTAAATAATTATTAATTGGGTTGCCAATGAAAGTTGGATAGAGAGAGATTAAGGGTGTGTTGGATTAACATGATAAAGCTGACTTTTATTTCATTGACTTTTGCAAATGTGAGTTAGGTTAAAAATCAGTTAGTGTAGAAGAATTTATATTTAGATTGATTTTTGTAAAATTCAGTTTAATAAATTGAAATTTGTTTGAATAAGTAAAGAAAAAGTAGGTTAAGATGTAAAATAAATGAAAAAGGTATCATTTTTCTCCAAATTAATTTGCTTGATTTACAGATTGATCTGCAATATAATGATACACATAAATATTTTAAAAAAAAATCATATAACATATGATATAATTAAGTAATTTATTTAACTTTCTTAATCTCTTCAAAATAGTCTATTGGGTCTTATATTAAGAACTAAAGCTAGCACATCATATATATAATTTGATAAATTAAGAAAAAATAAAATAATTAAATTTTATTAGTAAATTATTTTCTTCCCACAATATTTTTTATAAACATCAAATCATTTGATCAAGATACGACCCACTTAGATACCCTTATTTTTCTTTTCATCCAATCATCTATTCTCTCTCCACGGCAGAGATGGGTTTTTCTTCGAAAAGTAGCTCTAAATGACTTTCGCAGTACCGAAGCTTTTGGGTCAAATGCTCATCCAACAAAATGCTGACCCAAACAACATGTTGAGCTTTATCACTTCTCAACGTGGCTTCTTTCTTCCTCAATGTGGCTTTTCCCTCCTTAATGCTATGCCAAACACGCTAAAAATGCTGGAAAAGTTGCTAAGTTCGGTAATGTGACTTGAAATTCATTACTTTAATTTTTTTATATATTATTATGAGTCAAAATCCAACTTCTTTTTTGCCAATTAAGGCCTTATTTGCCATCAAGATTGAAATCACTTATAAATACATTTCATATAAGTTGAGATAAAACTCCTCTTATATATTTATCTTGTATTCTTTAAATTACAATTGAAAAGAAGTTTATGAGCCATTCCAAACAGGCTTTAAACATCATGTCTTTTAGACAACGAACAAGGACATAAAAAAAAAGAAGATAAAGTTCAATCGTGGAATTGAGCTTGAAGATTTATAAATAGAAAATAAACTATATAGATTTTATTCTTTGAATTAAACAAGCACAGTTTTGTTTTAATTGAAATTATACAAATATATTTATTTTTAAAAATTCTCCTTAAAGTAAAGTAAATAAATCTTAAACTTCATTGAAATAATAACATATATCTCTATGTTGTTTTAAAAAATAAACTTATAGATATGGTTTATGATATCAATGAAATGATGGAGAGGTTTTTTCATGGGAAAAAGGTTTCTCATACACATAAACAAGTAAGACGAGCTTCAAACCTTGAAGCATGAGATACAAAGTTTGTGCTGAGAATGAGACGAGGGAAGATAAGGAAGACAGTACTGAAAACTACTAAAACACAAGCCATTCATTAAATATTTAAGTGCATAACACATATACACATCGAACATTAAAAGTAATCTACCCCTCAGAAGTTGTAAACACCAAAGACACGCATCAATTGATTGAGATCGACCATATCAAGCATTATTAGCAGTGTGGTCACTGGACTTAGTGGACTTTGCCTTCAATTTCTTCACTACCCATATAACAAATATCATTATGCTGTATAGAATAACCAGTAGGTGTAAAGCAGCAAAAATCCAAGAGGCTACGATCGGCACATCATCCGTATAATCATTGTACGGGATGATAAGGAAGAGGCCGAATAAATAAGTATTTAGTAGGCACGCGAGAGCGGTACCCATGGCTGCAGATAGCATCCACATCACAAACCTATGTTTGAGAGGAAGTCCACTTACAAGCAAGAACGCAACACAAAGAGATGCAACAAAACATATGGTATTGTACATTATGAAGGGGCGAAAGTATTCTTCATTACTATAAGCAAGCATGGCTTCCCCGGGCAATATTGGTCCGGAAGAGAGGTTATGCCCAGACTCATCTCTGTACGGCAAACAGCCGAGGGGTCTGTCTTCTGGAGAAGTGAGGTTAAAAGGGGGATCGCCTGGTCCTACATTTTGTTGGGTGACGTTTCCTGGAGGGTTAAGTGCCGCTTGAAAAGTCATGTTTGAGATGACAGCAGCCACCATGCTCAGATCCCCCCTCATTTCTTCTAGCCAATCGCCCTTATACACAAGCCATTGGTCTATAGTTTCCAAAACATATCTCCACCACCTCTTCTTCTTCTTCCCACTTGTGTCTTCTTCGCTCGCAACATCAATCCTTTCTCTCCTTCCACATTTGATTCCAAACTCCATCAATATGACTTGTATTTCAAGGCTCTTGGAGTCCTTGGGAATTCCGTGAACAATATCGGGGGCGCTTTAACCCTTGTCGTTTTTCCAGTTCAATGCTTCTGATCTTATTCTTGGAATTGACATGATGTAACTCACAGTCTAAACAACAACGGAAAAAAAAAGAAGCAAATTTAATTTGTTACTCTTGTGACTTATATATAACAGGACCAGAAAAAGATCGAAACCAGTTTATATACATAGGTCGTGTCAAACGAATCTTGCATCCTTGCTGCCAGCCATTTTTCTTTCCTTTTTCTTTTTCCTAAATCAAAATTTACATGAGAAAGAGATTCCTTGGAAACATGCAGGTTTTATTTTATTCATAACATTTGATTAAAACACGAAAAGAATTAATGATGGCAGCAAGGGAAGTAAGATCGTCAACTGAATGAAAGGAGATCCTGACTCAAGTCTAGATTGATCTCAAGCTCAAGCTAATTATACATGAGTAAAAGTACCTTGACCTGCTTCAACATGATAGCCAAATGGAGAATGGTGTTGTTGCCAGCCAAGTCTCCTTCAATGAGCAGCTTATTGGTGTGATGAGCACCCAAAGCCACCAAATCCTTAAGTCTCTCCAAGTTTGGGCATCACACACAAGCGGAAAATATTTTTCCCGTTGTCATCATGTAACCTCACAGACTCTGGCTTTGCTCTAATCAGCTCCAACGCAACGTCTCTTCTGCCTCTTATAACTTCATAGTGCAGAGGGATTCTGCCTTCTTGGTCACCAACCAGGCACGCCTCCTTACCAGCTTCCAACAACTGTTTCACAGTGTCCGTATGGCCTTCTGCAGAAGCTAAGTGGAGAGGTGTGCTTCGTAAACAGTTTCTCTCAAGGGCAAGTTCCGGTTTACGAGAAAGGAGGGCTTTTGTGAATTCATGGTGGCCATAGGAAGCTGATATGTGCAGCGGAGTTTCTATGAAGACAGTTTGTGAGCTAATTTCTGCAACATTCCTTGGTCCGCCATTATGCTTAAACCACTTTCCCATTCACTTGAAAATTTTCTTTGTCCTATGCTTCTTCTTTGGTCTCCCAGAAGCTTCGTCAACAACCACAGCAGTAACCAGTGTCTGATGAAGATTTTCATTTCTTGTCTTTTCATCCCTTTTGATGAAAGTTTTCATGGATATCAACTCTCTTTCAAGGCTCTTCAAGTCCTGTTGAATTCTTTTAACAAAATCACGAGAAAGTGTAACCCACGCAGTTCTTCATATTTGCCACCTCTTATTTAAGAACGGAAAGCAGGTCCCTTACAGTCTGCATATATAACCACACATTAAATAAGTATGTTAATACTTGTGTCCCCCCCCCCCCCCCCCCCCCCCCCAAAAAAAAAAATCTCTTAAGTTAATTAAACTATAGTACAGAATTTGTAAATGGTAATAAAATTGAAGTACATCAACTTGCTTCAACATGACGGTCAGATGGAGAATGGTGTTATTTCCATCCAAATCTCTTGAACTGAGGAGCTCGTACGTGTCAGTAGTGTCCAATTCCACCAAAGCTTTTAGGATCTTCAAGCGATTGATGACGCAGAGGTGGAAAATGGTGTTCCTTTTGTGAAGCATGCTCGAAGACTCTGGCCTGGCTCTAATCAATTTCCATCATCACAACCTCAAATCTCCCTCTCATAACAGCATAATGCAAGGGAATCCTGCCTTGTTGATCAGAAACCAAGCATGCTTCATCATAAGCTAACGGCAACTCTTTCACAATCTCGACGTGGCCTTCTGCTGAAGCTAAGTGGAGGGCTGTGCTTTGGAAGGAGTTCAGTTCAAGAGCGAGTTTGGTCTTCTGAGTAAGAAGGGTTTCGGAGAATTCAAGGTGGCCAAGTAAAGCTGATATGTGTAAGGGAGTTTCAACAAAGATAGTCTGTGAGCTGATTCCGTGTAAGATTAATGGATCATGCTGTGTCAGTGCGTTCGAAATCACGTTTAGTTTGAGCCCACTCAAATAGACTTGGAATAAGAAAAAAGCCTATATGGTTTTAATAATTAAGTAATAAAAAATTAATGTAACTACTTTGGCTTATGATTAAGTCAAAGATCATTTTAGAATAAGGTTCTTGGATAAGCCATATCTGACTTTGGGAAGTGGTGTCACTAATATATGTGTGTGTTCGGGCACGCGCGCTTTGTAATAATTAATTTCCTTTGTGGGGCCAAAGTATTGCACCTTAATTTACTGCCTACGTTTGCGAAAAACTTGATTTCATATTTAACTAAGGTTGCGTAGATGAATTCATTATATTCTCTTCAACTCTTCCATCCAATTTCATACCTTGAATGATTTGGCTGTAAGTTTAATTGAATTTTTTAAATAATAACAACTTAGGTGGATTAAATCATGTATGCGTATAGGTGTGTGAATAATATGCACACACACATATATGTTATTGTGAGATGTGTGTGTGTTATTAAAATTTTATACACGTGAATAATATACATATATATAATTTTTCTTATCCTGTTCCGTCTGATAATAATAATACATATTATAGTATTTATTTATATATAGGTTAAAGTTATTTATATATATATTTATTATTATTTAGTATTGTTATAGTGTATTAAATCTCAACAACTGGATATTAATCTAATGGTAGAGATAGTAAATAGAGAAAAGTAGAGAAAAACCTAAATGGAGATATTCTTCTTCGCATGGCGTCAGGCCATAAGATCATTGTTCATGGTTACTATAGTTGAACTTTCAACCTAAAGATCAGTGTCTTGGTCTAATGAATTGATTTGTTTTATGCATAAAAATAAGAAATGGACTCTTTATGCCAGTTCAGAATACTTGCAATTTCTTCCACTCCGTGAAATATAGAGACAATGAAACTTTGAAAAGTAGATTTGATAATGCATAGCAAAGTTGGGATGAAAATATGAAAAGCCCCTGCGATCCTACTTTTGACGTTTTAAGAAAAAGTGCATACAAATAAAGTGACTGCATCCACATCTGCATGTTATATTAGGTCTCTGTCTCCATTCCTCCCTCTCTTATTATTCCTTTAAGTGCCACAACTTCAAAGTATATCAAAAAGGCATCTCCCCTTTGTCTCGTGACTTTTGAGTTCTGACTACTGAGAGAACCATGCATATCTTAATTATCTATAAAATCACTTTTGATAAGAAACAAGTGGCTTGAAAGAAGAGAAGTATTTAACATGGTTGAATTTTCAACTTGGACTTATTGCCTTCATCTAACCAATGGAATAGTTGCGTATGTGAACATTATAATTAGAAACCGACCTTTGCTAAAAAGTAGAAATGCTGACTTGATTTTGGTATTGGTATTTTTTAAATATTGCATCTCTCTATAAATTTTTTATTACGTAATTGATAACTATAATAAAATAAAAATCAATATTATTTAGTTACTACATCATTATTGTGAACATTATTCAATATCGTCAATATTAATACCAATACCTCTGCACCCAAAAAAAAATACAATACCAATTAAATTTATAATAAGTTACTATTTTTGTGTCTTCCAGGGAATGGAGACTCAATCACAATCAGATTACCTATAATTTAAAATCTACAAATCATACAATTCATAGTAAATTTAGTATAATTGAACCTGGTGGCTTGTGGGGATAAAAATCCTTGCAGAGCACAGTTAGAAAACGTGTCATGTATCAGAATAACTGATCTCTGATGTCATAATAATTGAAATTCATAGAACATAACTGATACAAGTCTGAATGAAAATCAGTTACTGAAGTAAATAACATACAGCAGAAGATATAATTTCAGAGAGAAGTAGTAGAAAGACGCCACAGAAGGAGGAGAAGAGACATGGCAAAATGTGGCATCTAATTCACTGGCAGCATCATGCATTTTGGATTCCGGTCCTCGGAAACGACAAAACATTATCCGACAGCCAGTTGGGCTTCTTCCCCCTTCTGATCTTAAGCCAAAATGCGGAGCGCAATGTGGTCAACACAGCAACAATCCCAAGCATCCCAAACCAAAACAAAAGTGATCCGGAAATCACTCTAGTATGTGAGTCGAGAAGCGAAAAATTTGGATTCACCATGGAGAGGGCTTGAAGGTATGTGAGTGTTAAGAATGTGAGAGTAATACACGTGCCAATAGATAACACCCACATAACTGGCTTAAGCTTGACGCATTGACATCCAATGTTTGATTACCTTGACGCATTTCTTCACTGCCCATATAACCCCTCCGCTTACGATGTGTACACCGATGACTCCAAGCGATGCAACCCAAGTCAAACTGGCAACGTTATATACTTTTGATATCAAAAGGAGGCATTGAAGCAAGTGAAAGCCAGGGCTGTGAGAGTGATACACATTCCTATGCATAGCGTCTACAACACAGCTTTATTCTTCAGAGGGAACCCGCTTACGAGCAGAAGGGTAACGCCTAGAGATGCAACGAAAGAGATGTATTGTAAATTACAAAGATGCGAAAGGCATCTGGATAACGAGAAGCAAGCATCGCTTCCCCTGGACATGCATGAATCGCACAATAATCATCTTAAAGCAGCGGAGGGGTCCCACGTTGTCAGCGGATTTGCCGTTGGAATCAGCTATACATCGTTGAATGAAGCTTCCTGGAGGATTAATGGCAACTTGAAAGGTCATAGTCGCAATAACAGTGGCCACAAGACTTATGTTTCCTCTCATCTCCTCTAACCAATCACCATTATGCTTAAACCGCTTTCCCATGCACTTGAAAATTTTCTTTGTCCTATGCTTCTTCTTTGGTCTCCCAGAAGCTTCGTCAACAACTACAGCAGTAACCAGTGTCTGATGAAGATTTTCCTTTCTTGTCGTTTCATCCTTTTTGATGAAAGTTTTCATGAATATCAACTCTGTTTCAAGGCTCTTCAAGTCCTGTGGAATTCTTTTAACAAAATCACGAGCAAGTGTAACCCACGCAGTTCTTCATATTTGCCACCTCTTATTTAAGAACTGAAAGCAGGTCCCTTGCAGTCTGCATATATAACCACACATTAAATAAGTATGCTAATACTTGTGTTTTTTTCCCCCATAATCTCTTAAGTTAGTTAAACTATAGCACAAAATTTGTGAATGGTAATAAAATTGAAGTACCTTAACTTGCTTCAACATGACGGTCAAATGGAGAATGGTGTTATTTCCATCCAAATCTCTTGAACTGAGGAGCTCGTACGTGTCAGTAGTGTCCAATTCCTCCAAAGAGGTGGAAAATGGTGTTCCTTTTGTGAAGCATGCTCAAAGACTCTGGCTTGGCTCTAATCAATTCTATCATCACAACCTCAAATCTCCCTCTCATAACAGCATAATGCAAGGGAATCCTGCCTTGTTGATGTCATAGCCCAAGATGCCAACGTGAGAGAGGCCTACGTAAGTCGTAACAGGATCCATGAGGAGGGAAAGGTGCTAAGGCACAGTACACGTGTCAGAAGCTCCACCTGGAATATGCGGGAATAAAAGTCGTTGCCGAGTGGAGGGAGGTGTGGAATATTTTGTGAATGATCTCACTCTGGCCCTTCCTCTCTTATTCCCGGATTTCCTTTCTGTTTGTCTCCATCTGGACCCCTGTGGTTATTTCCTTATTGCTTCCTTGCTTTCTTTCTGTTATTTTCAGATTATATCCATTGTAGTTGCTTGCATTTCTATGTCTGGATTGGTGTTACTGCATATTGGTGATAGAATATCGTTATCAATGAATCCATATTGTTATCCATTTGTGTTGTTTGATATATATATCCATAACATTTTGGTGCTTTCATTGAGAGGGTCATGATGGCCGAAGCAACTCAATTTAAGGATGTACAAGCTGAGGTGAAGAGCATAAATGAGCACATTCATCATATTGAGGTGTCTTTGAACGCCCAACTAGAGCAACAGGAGAAGAACACTACGGATAAGATTGAGTAGCTGGCAGCCAGTCAGAATTCACGGCTGGATCGAATTGAGGCTACTATTGAAGCCTTCACTTGGGTACCCGATGGCCTATTAGAAAAATCT